TGAAATGCCTCCAGGCAAAGTTGGTTAAGAATCAAAAAATTAATATTTCCTTTTCCAAGTGGCGCTATGAAAAGTTGCAAGCAGCTTTATTCCTGGCAATTTGAGTATTATAATTTGAGAAGACTTAATTAAAACAAACTAAATAAATAAAAACTAAAAACGACTAGAGGAAAATTAATGGCAACATTTAGACCGTTGAGTTGGTTCATTCATGTCCCTTGCAATCTTATGAGTGGCTTAAACGCTCTTTACCAATGGTTACAAGGCTAAACTCATCCTGACTTCCTGACTTCGTTCATGTCGCTTCCAACTTGATGAGCCGCTGAAGTACTTTTTGCAAAGTTTGCATGTATACGAGAGCAACTTTTAGACCTTTGGTTCATTCTTGTTGCTCAGTTGTAACCTAATGACTGGCTAGAAAACTTTTTACAATGCTTGCAAGGCTAAACTCTTCGTGAGTTCGTTCATGTTTTTTGCAATGCGATGACTGCCTAAAGCACTTTCTACAATGCTTGCATGTATACGGCTTCTCTCCTGTGTGAATTCGTTCATGTCGCTTGCAATCTGTTGACTGGGTAAAACACTTTTTACAATACCTGCAAGTAAATGGCTTCTCTCCTGTGTGAGTTCGTTCATGTTTCTTGCAACTTGCATACTGGCTAAAGCATTTTTTACAATGCTTGCAAGCATACGGCTTCTCTCCGGTGTGAGTTCGTTCATGTTGCTTGCAGTTTGACGAGTTGCTAAAGGACATATTACAATATTTACATGTATACAGCTTCTCTCCTGTGTGTAGTAGTTCATGTCGCTGGCAATGCATATACTGCCTAAAACGCTTGTTACAATGCTTGCAAACATACGGCTTCTCTCCGGTGTGAGTTCGTTCATGTTGCTTGCAGTTTGATGAGTTGTTAAAGGGCATGTTACAATGCTTACATGTATATGGCTTCTCTCCAGTATGAGTTCTTTCATGTCTCTTGCAACTTGCATACTGGCTAAAGCATTTTTTACAATACTTGCAAGCATACGGCTTCTCTCCGGTGTGAGTTCGTTCATGTTGCTTACAGTTTGTTGAGTTGTTAAAGGGCATATTACAATGCTTGCATGTATACGGCTTCTCTCCAGTGTGTAGTAGTTCATGTCGCTGGCAATGCATATATTGCCTAAAGCACTTGTTACAATGCTTGCAAGCATACGGCTTCTCTCCGGTGTGAGTTCGTTCATGTTGCTTGCAGTTTGATGAGTTGATAAAGGCCATATCACAATGCTTACATATATATGGCTTCTCTCCAGTATGAATTCGTTCATGTTTCTTGCAACTTGGATACTGGCTAAAGCACTTATCACAATACTTGCAGACATATGGCCTCCCTCCTGTGTGAGTTCGTTCATGTTTGCTGAGGTCTGTCAAGTTTGTAAAGCACTTTTTGCAATACTTGCATGTATGTAACACCATCCCTGTGTGCAGTTTGTTGACACTCTTTGAAAACTGAAAACTGGTTAAAGAACTGGCTACAATGCTTGCATTTGTCTGCAAAAACAAAATTAATTGTTTTGTTATAACCTAGAGACATGGGTCTTAATACTAGAGGATTGAGATGCAGCTGCAACATAAACCACTTCAAACCCAAATCATAAATAAGATATTAAAAGATCAATTTGTTAAAGTACATGCGCATTTTTGGCAAACAACAGACCTGCAAATTCTGCAAATTACCTCTAAGGCTACTTGTTCTCACACAGTCTTCTTACCCTAGTGTAGTGATGTTAAAAGAGAGGAAATTCAATTTCAATAAATTGTTTTCAAACAACCAGATGAATCACTAAACAACCAAGCTGGCCATGAGCCCACTGTATCTCAGTGGTTTGGATATAACAATAACAATAACAATAATAATAATAATAATCATAATAATAATCATAATCATAATCATAATCATAATCATAATAATAATCATAATAATAATAATTGCTATTATTATTATTATTTTTTAATTATTATTATTATTATTATTACTATTATTTTATTTACGTGTCAACGAGATTTAACATTGATGCTAACTGGTGACACCTAAACCGAGTAACAATTATCAGGACTACGAACAAATGAAATTTTTAAACACTACAATTATTTACAAGCTAAAAGCCTATCTATCAAAATAAAGCTACAAAAGTGAATAAAGCTACAAATAAAGTTAACTAAGAAAGAAGACAGTAGTCAAGTTGAAAACATATGACATTTTGCATCCACTGCTCACATCAATTGAAATGTTTAAATCCCTTTTCTTAATGTAATTCTAAAATTCTTTAAACTGAATGATTTAATATGATTGGGAAGTCTGACCCATAGTTTTGGACCCAAATACAAAACTGAATGTTTTCCATAAGTCACTGTCTTGAATCGTGGGATCACAA